TTGTTCTGTCGGGAAATATCCTCAGCGTACACACGGCATTTAAAATGCAGTTGAAATGTCATGGACACTACCATTACTAAAAACTATCTTACGTAATTGCTACTGTAAAAACATCTAATGGCAACACAAAACGATCTCCTAGTGCAATACGCATGTCGCAATCGTAATAATTTGACGTTGCACTTACAGGGCAATCCAAGAGATAACCTCTGTAATAACATATCTGTATATGAGGCAAAGTCTAGGGGCCAATCACATTACGCCAGGAAAACACAAACGGATTGCTATTGCTGAGGAAACTCTAGCGTCTCAAGGATGTTATCCTAAACTCCAAGTAATGTTTGTCTAATTATCTTGCATTTAATCGTCTGTAGTTAGCTGGCAGTTTAAACTGAGTTACAAATCATTGCTGAATGCTGATTGGGTATAATTGCTTTTACGTCATGGTTTAATTACGTGGTGACTTGAGATTTTAGACACGGACTCTTGCGTTTGTTGGTGTTCTAGGTTATAAAACAACGCTTGCCATTTGGTTCAGACTAAATTGAGTTACGTTTAGATGAACTTTGTTTCCAAATAAAAATCTGAAGTTCCTGAGAGAAATCAGTATACTAAACAAAAATTGACCCAGCAATTATACGTGATCATTGGGATTTTAATCAATGGACCTATCTAGAAATAACTGCCAATCTTAGTCAGTAATATAGCGATCATAAATGGTTATTTGATCTTTGATAAAATTACACTACAAGTTTGACTCCAAATTAAACGTATTCACAAAAATGGGTTTTAACCAAATCTTTATTGACTAGTGGCCAGACTAGAAAGTTAAATCCAAAAAGAATATGTTGTCGTTGAGGTGCTGTAAGATATGTACAGTATTTAATACTTGACAGGGCCGCGTTTTGAACTTCCGATTTAGTACTAAATTAATTAAAAACTAAAAACATTTCATGAATAAACCGTAGTCAGACTACGATGGTATGCCCCTATTAACCCCTATTTTAAGGAAGTCATGCTATAGACTATACAAACAAAATGATAGTGTTCAGTAGCACTAACAATACTCATTTTCCTACAGTTACCTAACAATGTACATGTTCTCTCAGTGATTTGAGAAAGCAAAGTGTCCAATTCGCTCATCAGTGAGACAATGTTAACATTGTCTCACTCTAATTACTTTGTCTCACTCCAGATTTGCAACGTGAAGGCACGAAATAGTGAGCGCGTAACATGCAGGCAACGTCGTATGCGCGCGAAATACGTTGGCAGCACTGGCTGTAAATCAGCTGGTCAGCTGTTGTACTGTTGTATTTGTCACTTCACATTAAATGTTATATTAAAAAGCACTTCTGTGTAAAAATAGGTTATGTTTCTTCACCAATTTATTTGTTTTATGGTAACTGTAGGAAAAGTATAATGTGCAACTCGAGTTCAAAGTACAATTGCCTCACTCGAGAAACCATTCCTCACTCGCCTACGGCTCGTGAGTAAGGATTTCTCTCGAGTGAGTCAATTGCTTACTTTTCTCACTAGTTGCACAAATAACTATTGTCTTCGTTTTAAAAGATATGCGCCTCGAACAAATGTTTATTCTAAGCAAAACACGTAACCGTGAATATTAATAATAGTTCCCAAATAACCAGTACAGATTACGCATAACCACTGTTACACTAGAACATCTGAACAAATCAGTATAAGCCTTCACACAATTATTCAACAGGCGTCCTTCAGCCATACCATTATGCAGTGAGGTAACCCTATTTAAATAATTACACAACCGGTGGATCCCACAAGGAAGCAGATACCTAAGTCGCAGGAAGTAACCCAGAAGTAACAGTTGCAGTAACCAGTTACTCCGGAAGAACTGGACGCACGGTTGGTCGGGAGGCGCGCTGAAAGTAAAAGTGACCTTGTGAACTAGGCCGGTTACATAATTCTGTGCTTACTCTGTGGCCTACGTGGTCACATTTCATACTCTGTGGAGAAACCCGGGCAAACAAGTGTGTAACCGTTCTGTATTTGGAACAGTAATGCAGTGGAGTCGGGATTTGGTAATGAAGAAGGACAAGTTAAAAGTTATGCGCAAGCATTAATGGAAGATTTAATCCTATGCAGTTAGTACTGGTTTTTGAATGAAAAAGTAAGTTTTGAAAATGCACAAAGACAAAATTCACATAATCATATTACTGTATTACCACAGCGATTATCTTAGTGATTTGGAATCAAGTTTCTGTCCTCTACTATCCTTTAAAAATAAGAACTAAAGTGGAATGGAGAGATCCTCTAAGTGGAATGGAGATCTTGGCTATTAACTAAGATCAGCAGTTTCTTGTGGTTTCAGTCAAAAACCAGCTACAAAACGCCAACATATCAAGGATAGCTAGGGGCATTTTCGAGCTATCAAAAAGCTACTGACTTTTCTTAGGCTGGCTTCCTTTCGACTGATATGTGAGAACTATAACCTCTCAACTACTCAGATTTTAATTATTTAACATTCAGTGGAATCTAGAGCAACTTTACACCTCCTAAACATATAAATATACCGTTTTATTAAAAAACAAATCATCAAACACAAGCCGCTTGTATAAGAAAATGTTATCCATTGGTACCTTATCAAATTTATCCCATGGCAACTAAATAATCCAGTAAACGTGCCTTATCACCCAACAACTTACGACTTAACATGTAACTAACAGTTCGTCGACACTACGGGGTCAATACCACATAAACTCCAACAATCTTACTATAACTCCATGTCAATCAGCTGTTAGCTGTAGACCTTTCCATTAGACTTCTGGGTCTTATCTGATTTAATAGTCCTGAGGAATAAATAGGCCTACCTCACTACTATAAATCGACCTCGTGGTTGAAAAAATCTAAACACTTCGAAAGTAGTATTTCAAAAAGCGATAACCAAAATGTCAGCTGAGATATATGGGGAGGTCGCTGCCCCTCTAGAGCTAGACCGTGGATGATCGGGGAACAAAAAACACCAGACGATACCGCATTAACCCCACAAAAGATCCGAGCCCTTCTTGTTTTTGTTTGATACAAGGATTTCACCCGTGCATGAACACAAAGAATAAACAGGTGGATTCAGGGTTTGGGGCTTCATGGTCAGAATCGGAATCTTGAAGAATTTGAAAGATGAATCTTGATGTGGTCTGGCTAATAAGATGCACATGCATTGGGATCAAAGTAAAAATGTAAGAGCAAACGAACGAGAAGAATTGGAATCATAATGAGACTCAGATTATAAAGAACAATAAGGACCAATATTGTAATTACACTTTGATACTTAGATAGAGGAATAATCGTAATCATAATTATAAAAATAACCTAACCAGAACATTGTGAATAAGAAGTGAACTGATTATTGTACTTATGAAATTATGAACAATAGGAATGAAAATAAAAATTAAACTTGGGAAACTTTATCTGAAGCAATAATACCCATAAAAAATATCCCTACTTGTGTATTTTAAACTTTTCCAATAAATAAAGGAATTCAAAACATGTTCTGTGTGGAGGCTGTAAACATTCATTTACTATAAATTGGGCGATCCATTTTATGTGTTTAGGATGCTTATTGGTTAAAGAACGCCGGTCGGAGAAACTCTATTATTATTTAAGAACTAATACTTTACATTGGAAATTATAATTTCGACTCAAAAATCAAAGAGAATGGTTTTTAATTAGTTTGTCTAATGGATGAAGTAAATGGAAGTTATGTTAAGTTAAATGGTTAAGGACGGTCACAAATAAAATTATATTATGGGTTAAGTTTTTATATAGGTTCACTTAGAGTTTTAAAACAATATCAAGTGTGATTTCAAAAGAAAATATCCATTTATTACTGTTGAACAGTTTTTAGAGGAAAGAGTTCTTCAATACAAAGACAGTCAATGTTGTCTCCGATATGTATTCTTTTTCGTTTAGAGATTCTTCTTCTTACAGCTTTAGGCTGACTAACAAATCACGAGTGATGGAATTGTCATCTATCTGAAATCCTTTTCAATGGACTTTTCACGCCAATATCATGTTGGAAAGTGTTAAACAAACACTCAAAGATTTACTAATGAGTCATAATTGGCTTACATCACATGACATACTAACACGCTTCAGAACAACGTGCCTATTGTTTCACAAAAAGACAATAATGCATTCAGCTTGTTTTGTTAGTAAAGCTAATTGAAGGTGTAAAATGTATAATGGAAAGGTATGAACGTGAAGTTTAAGTGATCAAAAGTGAAGTTTAAAGATCCTACAAGTTGTGCATGTGAATGGAGTTGAAGTTTACACATGTGAATTAAGATTACTCTAATAGTCTTTTAGATGGTATATAGTTTTGTATTGGTACATATAATGTTTGGCCTAATCAATGGTAAGCATTGCTAAAAAACTATATACGAAACCCAAATTTACTCTTAAATTATTTACGTAACCCTCATCGGTACAATTCATACTGTATGTCTACTACAACCATATTTTCACCGTAAAAATGCTTGTGTTCTCTAAAGTGGTTTGGTAGATTCACAATCATGTTATATGTTACTCTAAATACTTTACACTACTAACAAGAAATAAGCCACTAGATTCAAATTGATGCTATCGTTTGAAATAAACATCGATATGAATAATTATCAAATGGTTACAAAGGGATAGCTTATACTTTAGCATTCAATCCATTTTCTATTTGAAGGAGAATTGGCAATGTTTCATAGTATTATTATAGTGCTTCATCTGTTATATTAGCAAGTCTATACGCGATACGTATGATTTTCCCCTTACAACATAACCGGTTACAGTTATGTCATAGCCCTGCAAAGATCAGTATAGCTTTAACAATGCTGCTTCAATAGCAATAGTCAATGGTTGTACTAGTAAAATTTACTTTCGAAAAAAATCATGCTTTGACAAAAAAAAAACAACCTGGACAAATAATTTACTTTTCAAAACAAATTCGTACTTGTTTCCAAACAAAAAAATCAACTCACGTGGATTCAGCGCGTAGCTCAGCTGTTTGACGAATCGACTGATCCTGACGGCAATAATGATGACGGGGAACCCCACAAGTTGTACGGGGAGCTCAAAGCCCCCTCTTTGGGGACTGGGGGCCGGCATGGCGAGGGGGGCCGACCCCAGTACCAGACACACCAGTACCGTCCGTAGCAACATGGGCGCACCTGGAGAAAGTTGAACACCGACTGAGGTTCTAGTCTTGAGTGATACTCTGACTTTCAGTCACCCCCTCCCCCACCCCCTAGTCATGACTATGCATCACTTGCAAGTGTGGGGTCGAGGTTCTCACGTAATTTTAGGGTCTAATTAGAGATGTCGTTAGCCACGGGGCATGACGGGCGAAATGTGAGAAGGAGTAAACGTTGAGAAGAATTTGATTTCTGGTTGGGTAGAGACTTGGGGGAGATTAAGCATGTACATGGGTTTAAAATTTGAATAAGTTTTTCTGTGTTTTTTTTATGTGCAGCTATAATTTTGTGCAGTTTCCCTACAGTTTTAAAAGACATCACTGAGAAAATATTTTTCGTTACTTGGATTGTGCATTGATTTGGTGAAAAGATCAACAATGTAGAGACAAATACTCTAAGGATGAAGCAATTTACAAGTACATGAAGCCTATGTAAGGGTTTTACTTTTTCTCACCAACTTATTTGGATTGAAATTGTTTTTTGAGGTAGTTGTCTCTTGTCGCAACACGTGAAGTATAAATACATACACACATGTCAAGCTAAGAGCAATAAATCTGTACTTGTTTAATGTGCTGTGGCTTTTTTCCTTTTTTCCCCTTTTACATTTTGGCAAAGCAAGTTAAAATATAGCCGAACCTCAATAAGTAGAAACAGTTTATCTTTGATTTTATAAGTGATTTTTTTTATTGTAATCTCCTGCCACAGATCAAACTAGCCATGTAGGGATGGATTTAATTTTTTAGAAGGAGTGTTTTTTTTTTATTAACAGGTATAACTATTGACCCTTTTTGAATTTAAAGATATATATTCGTTTTCGTTTAATGTGCTATTTTTAACGATCACACATAGCTGAGAGATTAATTTCCTTCCTGTTATACCAAACATTTCTAAAAAAATATATAAAATCAATGGAGGAAGCTGTAGATATAGCAGGACAGAATCTCCAGTTATTCTTTGTCCAAACTATGAATTTTAAGATATCGTTAAAATCTTTAAACATTTACCAAATTTTATGTGTCAATATTTTAATGAAACTAACGGGTTTCGAGAAATTTTGCAGAAAATATTTAAAATAGCCACCATTTTGAGACGGTTGAAGAGTTTTATTCTCAATATTAAAAAAAAATATCGGTCAACAGGATGAACATTTTTACAGAATATCATAGCTGTAGCTTATGATTGTATTTTTGTAAAAAAAAAATTCAGGCAGACGCTAAACCAAACGAGATAGCACATGTGTTTATGTAATCGTGTTTATTTCCTTTGACCCAATGAGTCGCGTAACTTATGACGTAAATTATTTCCCTACCTTTTTGAACACTCTGTATAGTGATATTGTATTTTTAATACGATCCCCTAACAGTTTACACAAAATTTTGATGTGAAGACATTGATTTTGAGTATTTTTATATTAAATAGAGTAAACTTTATACAGATCGAGCTCCCGGTGTAAGTAATATATTAGTACTTTGTTTAGGGTTTTGTTTTAAAATTTGTACACTCTTAAGTGGCTGTAACTTGTAGTTAAAATAATAGAAATACAGTATAAACAAAAAAAAACCACCAGTATTATTTTGTTTGTGTGTAGTATTATATTATATTATATTATGTAGTAGTATACCAGTACCAAATTTTGTTTGGAGTGATATTTTTGTACTATCTTCATGCAATTGTTTGATCAATATTGTCGGAAATAATTTAATTGTTGGGTTATGTTTTGTTATTTACAAATATATGAAAACCTATATAAATTCCAAGAAACTCCATATTTAATTCTTTTGTACCCTCCTCCCTCCTCCAAATTATTTTAAACAATAGTTTATTGCGAAATATATTTTGAGTTGAGTTGTGCTTTAGTTTTTAAAGATAATTAAAATATTTTTTTACGTAGAATCTGAAATTGTATTTGTTGTTTGTTGCATGGCCATTTTTCTCTTATTTATGGTTAAATATCACAGATTTGGTTATACGAAGTTTTAAAATATTAGTTTCTACTTGGTCGTATTTCAAAAATAAAATAAAATAACTGGTTATTTATCAAATAAGGAACTAACGCAGGTAAGTTAAATTACTCACTTATAAATATCCTTAAATGTCTTTATATGACTCATAAAGATGGTAAAAATAGTAACAATTATAAGATACAATTATGACTAATCTTTCTGCTGGTCTAAACTTATATAATCCTCAATTTACCAAAACATCTTCTCCCATCAAAACAAAACACAGACGCCATTTTATCCTAGCACCTACTTTAACGAGTAAAAACTCAAAATGAAAGCTATATTAGTTTTACACATACAACCGTCACACAAAAAAAATATATTTACATACAATTGTGATTTTGTGTGATTTTTGTGTGTGATTTTGTGTGTAATAGTAAACTCAACAGTGACACATGAACTGACACTTCAGTAACAAAGTGAAGCCCACTCTAGCTACACCTAATATAACCCATCATTTGATTATCATTTTACACATGAGTGTTGGCTAAACCATCACTTGATATCACTTTACGCATGAATGTTGTTTAACCCATCATTTACACATTTAGCCGCACTCCGCAGATTGTATCATACATTAAGGTAACTTACAACCTGTCAATTACACTTGTAATTCGTAAATGGAAAGGTAATATGGTCAGTGAGCTGGTCAGTTGTAAACAGATTGTGAACGGTTGAAAGCCGTTTTGTGTACTTCATTAGGTTTATTCGATCAAACTCAGGTGATTGGGTAAATGTTGGTAATGAAGTGTGTTTATGTTAATGTGTAAAATGTAATTGACGGTTTGAGTTATTTATACCACGGAGGTAATGTAGGACAATTTATTGTAAAGGTTGTTGAAACATGTTACCAGCTAAAAAAATTGTGAAAAATATGATCCATAAGACTTGATGTAGGTTCACTTGTCGAAAATACTTTTTTTTCTAAAGTAAGTATAGTTAGTTTCTACTTCAATGAGAATTTCGTAACAGTATTGGCAATTATGCAAACGAGAACACATGCTACTCTCGAAAATATATAGCAAGTATTACACTAAAGACGTTTGCTATGCTTTTTAAAAACTTTGCAAAGCAATAGGCCTAAAGTATATTAGGCTATTGTAATTCTTTTACTGAGTTAATGTTACAATAATTCTAGTAGTACAATTTGGGTACGAATACGATTGTTTAGAACCTTATTAGTATTATAAAACTCCTTATAAAACATGTTTTATTCCATAATGGTAGTTTCTTACTTGATAAATATGCTTTGTCTGATTTACGTAGCAATAGATCTTTCCCATCTAATCATAAAACTTTCAATTTAATGTAAACCGTCAACAGAGTCCTAGAAAAATTAAATAATCTGTTAAGTTGATACCATAGTCCTTGAATGTATTTTGCAAAATTAAAACATACGGATGAAAAAGAAATGGTCGTACTGTATTCCGACATTCATCCGTGCAGCTTTTGCAAACAACTTTAGTACGGAATGGTTCACAGCTCCGTTCTGTGTGTTGCGGTTGCTAGCTTTGAAGGCGAAACTAGAAAAGTTCAATCTTTCCATATGGATAAGGAGTTTTCTGGTACTGTACCGATTGAAGAACATACATTTATCATTTGATTCAAGTCTATTAAATAAAAGCTTGTGGAATTAACTGTTTATTATTGCGAAAAAAGACACAGCTTTCTCATTCAAATTTATCGCTGCTTCGTCTGGGTTTTGTATGGTCTAACTAACCCCTCCAAAACTTATAAGGCAAGCGTTCATTATAAGATTTGTTTAAGAATTTGTTTATAAGAATACATATAAGCTCTGATAGCCATACAGTAACATAACTGATTGAAGACCCATATCCCCACTTGGATTTGAAGGACTACCCCACACAAATAAATCCCAAATTGGTTTAACTAATAACTAGGTGAAACCCGTCAAAATTTACGGTTACTTTTGAGGTTTTGAGGCAAAATCGAACTATAAATTGATGACAAATAACTATTTTTTTTAACAATTTGGGTTGTTCGTGATTCAGCAGCGTGCTTTTTGTATTCAATAACTCAAATTAAAGCTAAATTATAGTATTCCGCTGAAGGTTCTAAGATCAAAACACATAGAATAATATAATTAGAATGGAGTAAATACTAAAATTAGATTCCATATCCGAGAACTAATGACATTTATATTTTTTGATTGAGCAATTCAAAATGTGAAGTGAAGTGAAACGTGAACGTGTGAAGTGAAATAATAAATAAGGGAAAATACGTGAAATAATGGTACCGTTTGACAAAGCAATCAAATACTGTATTGGTAAAAGCACTGCGAATGCCTACAAGCGTTTACAGAAACGCTATGTAAGATGCATTAGAGAATTTGAAGGCGAAACTTGGTAAATCTGTTTACTGTATTGATCTGCAAAGAGTATTTTTAACTTATGTTTGAGGAGTTGAAAATTAAAATAACTCCTACGTTATCCATATTTAAGAGTTAAATTAATTTTGGTAAGCTTATTAATTGTTTAACCCGATAATTTAAATAGATGTTTCTGTAAGGGATTTAGGTTGTACTGATACCTCTTTCTGTTTTAACCTTAAAAAAGCTAGATAATGTTAAATATTTATACAGGGGTATAAACAGAAATAATGTTTTAACAAAGTTACTGAGGTATGGGTTGGCTCTCTCAATGACGGATTTGTTTTTCAATTCCCCAGCTACAGTATCATATTTGTAAATTACTTATAAATGATTATAATGTTAAATTAATGATGGTGAATTATAGTTAAGTGTAACTTCCTTAAAATCTACTCTCAATTCGTAACGGAAAACTAATCGTTTATCTACTATTTTGATAACAATAGGTTGCTCGAATAGATTGATGTTTAACGCAATGTGATCTGAAATAAGTATACTCTAATAATTCTTTCTCGAATCGCCAAGACGATATTAGAATCAGTTGAATGCTAGAAAGTTCATACAAATTCCCCACCCCACAGTTGCACCACAAATATAAACTTTACGCTAAACACATGTTACAACAAATCTACACCAAAGGTCTCAATATATCGGTTTTGCAGCGCGTCAACGATATAATTAGATAGTGACGTCACTCGGTTTATTGCACTAGGGTTCACGTGTTCTCCTTTGTCGGTCGCTGAATATAGCTTGCAGGTTGTAAATCTGCTTTTTTGCCCAAGTTTCTGACCGGATGACATTCCGTTTGTAATGCCAACCATGTGCAGCTCAGAGTGCATTCCTTGCATGCAAGTTGCGAATAGTTGACGCATGCTGTAATGGATAAAGTAAGGACTTGTGGTATTTGTCCTGTTTTTTTTTTCATTTTTGTACGTATGAGAGGAAAGAGTTTAATTGTAAGTAAAAAAATACTTTTTTATACTTTTTTTTATACTTTCTTATGAAATGGTGACCATACAATGTAGGTATTTTAAGCCAAGTATGAATGGAGATGAGTGTAGGATGAGTGGCGCGATCTTGTAGTCTTGTCAGTGACTAAGGCCGACATTCCTTAGACACAGCTGTTAATTAATAGCCCAAACAGCTAATGGCAACTAAGGGACCTACAGTTTTTATAGTGGAATCCGAACCACATTTTTTCCTTGGTATATACGAATTGGTCTAATTATCAGGATAGTACTGCGGATAGTCGTAATACTCACTAGTGCCACAGAAAACGTACTACTATAACCAGTGCGGACGTTAATCCACACCAGGGAGTATCCCATCCACAGTGCATGCCTATAAATATCCACAATCCGTGATTGTGGAAAGGTAAAAAAGTAATAATGCTGTTTGTGTCGTCTAAATTACATGTTTTCATTCTTCGTCCATCGTACGCTCATTTTTGAGGGAGCCCATTTAAGTCTTTAAGCATGTAAGTTTTTTCTTTCTAAAAATACTAAAAATAGATTCATATTCTTAGATTTGGTAAAGACACAACAACAGTATCTTGGCTGTATACCACTCATGGTTCAAAAAGGGAGTTGAATGATTTAAGGACTATTAAATTTACTTCAATATTATGTTAATAAAAAAAAACATTGTGTTATTTTTTGACTGGTGTCTTAAATCTCTTAAATGCAATGTATTATTGTCTTTCAATTAACATGATAACAATCATTGAAATATTGCGAATATGTTTAGATCTGACTTTATAGATTTAAAATGCCTTTAATTCTTCAATTATGGAAATATTAGATCAATCAATGAAACAAACACTGTGTAGTGTTGACATGTAAAGTATTTTTGAGTTTTTTATTTTTCGGCGATTTCAATTTTACCAGTTTTCAAAAAAAGAATAAATCTTATACCAAATCAGTAGAGCCCATTTAAAGTTTTATCTCATTTCAATATTCTCCTTTTTCGAACCTATCCTTACCAAACCTGACCTAATCTAACGTCACCTAACTTATTTGCGTTACCTTTGTTTGCATAGAGCAAATTTCATAAGTGGCAACCCTCATCTTGTCTCTACCCCCAAGGGTGAAATCTCCTTCATTAAAAATCAAGCCAAAAGTATGGCGAAAGGAAAAAGAAAGCCATACAAATTTGCAAATCATTCTGTAACAAAGTCACCAGCGCATGCGTAGAGGTTACGTCATAAGCTGCGCAGACTTAATGCGTCGCTAGTTAGTGGTTTGTCCGCTAGTGAAAGTACAGCGGTAGTGTGCCGACCACTAATGCTACCTGGTGGCAGTTCTCGTAACTAATAGATTTGGCGGTAACGTATTGTTGTCAGATAATTGCTGTCTCATTAGGTAATGCATGAAGTAATGGCTCGAAGCCAACCATTGTTTTAACTTTCCGCACTCTACCACAGATGAGTGTCTTGTAGAAGCGAAACAGGTTTACTGTTGTCAATTGACTTCATCGTTGTACAGTTTGAAACATAGAAAATATGACTAAAGTGAAGTAATATATGTTTTTAGGTGCTGGTCTTAATTCACAATCAAGAAGAATCAGTTATAGCTGTAATGATGGAGCCACTGGATTCATTAAAAGAGAAAGTTAGTAGTGGAATGTACCTAGTTTCATCATTATTTTATTAGCATTCTATGCCTAGCGATTTTTGCAACCCGAGACTGTTGAAAAGCACAGTTCTACCCTTAACATCTCGAGGCTATTACCATTACCTATATCGTCTCTAAGTTTAGGCCAAAACTCAAATAAATTAAAATAACACTAGGTAAGTATAAACACATCTTCAACCCCGAAACTTGAATGCAATAACTTCATGATTTTTAGAGTCCTTTCTTGTAAACAGGGTTCATCGAGTTTTATTTTAATTTTCACAGATTCTCTCATAGCCAGATCGTCGACCTAATTGTGTTTATTTAATAAGACGTCATTAGCGAAATTTTTATTGTGACCACTATATTCTTTTTGCTTCACTAACCATGAACACGAACGATTCAAAGTTCCATTCATTTTTTGAGAAGTTCTCTTTGTTAAAATACCCACCATAGCTCCACACAGGCACTGAAGGAACTCCAGACACAGTCAAATGTCCAAAAATGGGTGCATAGATGTGCGCACTCATTGATAGTCTAACTAACTTGGGTGCGGTCTTGCCGACTTTTGACGTTTTTTGCTCAAATCTCATAACCTCATGTCGTCTCACACATGGGCTTGAATATATCAACCTTGCAAAGTTTTTTTTGGCAAAAAACACAATGCTTATAGCTTATAAAATAATTTTAAAACAGAGAGTATTATTTCTAAGAAGATTGCGAAAACCTGAAAAAAATCAAATATAAATTTTTCGGGATTAGGTCAAGTACATGCTCTGTAAAATATTTTAATCTCATAATCAAACAAGACAAGCAAATGATTCAGTAAAAATGATTTGGACGCATTCGAAAACATTAAACATAAAAAATATAAAATAACACTAGAGTTAGTTTTCAAGCATACACTTTTTTACATTCTATGAAAATTAAAATATATCTTAGACATGTTAAAATCGGTTTTGAGATTCAAAATGGTAACATGTATTGTTTATTTACAAAAGTATTTTACAGTAACTTAATAATTAAACCTATTTACATCAAATATACAGAGGTAAGTTGTGTCTTAAAGGCTAATGTATTACGATTGTTCAATTATTTGAGTTATCTTGTAGTCTTTAAGTAGGCATATTGTTTTTGCTGCACTGTATGATTTGTACTATGACTTTTTCGATTTTCTTTACAAGTCATTATACACATTTTGCACGTGAAACTATTTCATACAGAACTTTCCAAATTTCAATGATAGGGTAAATTTCTTCATATACACAAGTTAAAAATAAAATTATGGTATAAACTATCAATTATCTATTCTTTTAGACTATCTATCCGGCAAAATATAAAAACAAGCTTAATTATCAAATAACGTATCACCCTGTGGAGTTTTGAAGGTGTTCAACAGTTATAATAAGAAATATCCGTTTGCGAAAATCATGTAAATTATAAAAAGCGCTAACTAACATTAAAATATCACTTAAAGCTTCCTTAAAACTACAATGTACAACCTGATAGATCAATGCACTTTGACTTAAGTGCATTTTTCATGACTTAAGTGCATTTTTCACAATCTTTTATTTCTTGACATTCTACTTTGCAGTTTTATATCACACATGTGAAAGTGTATTACTATAACGTAAGGCCTTATTCTGTCAAAAAAAAAAAAAAAATTTCGTGGTAACATAATCCAAGGTTCATAAACTATGTCTAAATTATAATGTTTAGTAGGCCTATATGCCATTTCGGTCTTTGCATCATTATAGAGCCTAGCTATATAAATTTATTTTCTGTGGAAGTTGAGTTTACCCACTAATCTGAGATGAACATCAATCATTATTTACCTTATTACCTTTACATTTTTTTAAGATTACTTTTGAGATATCGTGCTGAAATACGAATACACACAGTTGTCATTTAACATTTCAGTAACGTTATTTTGTAATTGAATTATTCAAAGGCACATCTTTTTCTCTCTTTCATTTCTAGTATTTCAATGTTATTAACCAATACTCTCCTTCCATTAAGAACTGGGTGTAGTCTTTATCATCCTTAATTAATCAACTTACACAATTAAAAATCTAAAAACTTTAACCTAACTTCTACATCTGTACAAGTATCTATATACAAATCACAGTCAGAAGGTCCATCTATGTAGATGGTGCGACTAGTGTCCAATTGTCTGGTGTGTCTAGCCTAGGAGGATGGCTAGTGTCTAATTGTCTGGTGTGTCTAGCCTAGGAGGGTGGTTTCAGCCTGATGGCCTTGATCATGTTGAGGACTTGCACCCCCGGAAAGGGACACGATGGGTAAAAGTTGTGACATCCCGCCCCATCAACCCCTGCGATCAGCTGTCCCATGTGCGCGGCGAAGTGGTACTTCGACGTCACCTCGGCGGTCGTGCTGATGGTCGTGTCACTGGAGACAAAAATAAACAGTTGAATAATAAATAAAATAAAACCAAGCAATACGTTGAGTGGTCTCGGGAATGATAAAAAATGCTTTGAATGGAGAAAAAAGTAGGATAACAAAATAAGCAATAAAGGCAGGACAACTACTACAGTATTTGATATAAAATTACTTATACAGAACTCCTCCTCCTTCTCCTCCTCCTACCTCCTGCTCCCTCCCTAGTACCTCCCCACACTCCCTCACCCTTGTTTATATACCTTTATGAAGTACCTCTAGAATACGAGTTTTGACACTGTAGCCAGCAGAATAAGAATACAGACAATACATACGCAAAAAGTCGTCAAATACTTATAAATATTATTAAAAAAAACTCTTAATCCCGATAAGTGTTACTATAAAGGGTAAAATAATATGGTAACAAAATATTCAATCAGAGAATACAACATGTCTTAAAATACTTCAAATCTTCATTAAATAACCCTAAAATGACATTTGTGTCATTAAAGAAAAAAAATACTATAATTTAGCAAAAAATAACGATTCATGTAACTTCACAAAAAAAAGGTATTTGTATTTTGACATTTATATTTCCCAGGTTATCTTTCTATGTTTTTGTGGTAGATACATGTTTCAACATTGGAGCACGTTCTAAAAATAATTTGTTATAAGTCATTAACCGCAACAAAACAAAAGAAAGAACAGAACGGAAACTCTTCAATTGTGCGGAATATAACTTGTCAACTAATTCATCTTAATAACCAAAAATGTGCACACGATAAAACAAGTGTTGCCAAATTTGACAACATTAGGATTTCTCAATACCTGGATATTATAATATCAAAAACACAATGACACTAATGGTCTGATCTGTTTGGAACAAATGACTCTCGTGATTTCGAGGTCAGGATGTTTTTGAAACGGTAACGATGACATCACATTTCATCAAGATCATCATAAAGGTTACGACACAAGTCGTTAGTAATTTGTGATGACTAAGTTGCTGAGTCAAATAATACAACCTGTGTATATTGGGACTGAGCTTGCCTTGATTTTACTAAAATAGGCAATGTAATGTAAAACCCTCCTTAATATGTCGAGAAAACCTGTTATTATGGTGATTTCCGAACAAAAGTTTTAGACACCATCACATAACCAAGAGTTTTTGTTGGGATTTGAGCCCAAGCCCTTCACCACCAAAGCAGCCTGGCACCTTTAATTGGGATTCTGATTACTATGGAGGAAAAACTACACCAATATAGCAATTACATTTTAAATGTGAATTTTACTATAATTTCTCATTAGAACCACAATAATTAAGCGTTTGTCGTTATACAAAAAATTATAAAATATTGGAAAGATTTCTTCTTGGAATCCCATTTTGATACACCAAAATGGCAAACTAATAGCTTAGATTATATTTATCTTAACAAAGACCATTCAACCTGTCTGGAGATTAGGGAACTTCTCCTTAGGCCATTTCCACTCTAATAAATATAACAGACACTTTGTTTGCCAACATATTTTATTTGGTGTCGGTGTGGATTAAACCTTTGCCTACAAACAGAACTAGACATTATATTCCCATGTTAAAGTTGTCTCCAAGAAAACATAGTTTAGTTGAGCTAACAACAGAATTTGTCGTTGTAAAATTCTGAATTCCATCGTATACACCAAGTTTTCAATTAATTAAAACTTAAAGACATCATACTGTGAACCTTATATGTTACATAAACTAATTTAATGTCCAAAAGTAAGGGAAAGCACAATTTAAAAGTAAGGTAAATAGGAGTAAGGTAAGTAGGTAGTTGGCTAATGGTGTTTTAGAGGCTCATTCAGACGTGTTCTTTTTTTGATAAAAATCTAAAGCTGGTTAATATTACTGGTCTGTCAACTTTAGCATTCTAAAGTTAATGATAGTATCAACACTATGACACTATCAACACTACAATGATTTAATCAAATTATGTAACTAAGTTTGAAAATCTTCTAATCGGAATATTTATGCGATCATATAGAATAGATCGCTTCCTTTATCGACTACTGCTTTATCATTTTGGCCTTAAAGGCTAATATTATACCTTATGAGCGACAGAAGAGCTTTTTCGGAGTCAGAGAGCTTCTCTTTCTGCGGCGTTGCGTTGAGCTCACAGATCAACTTGGGTAGACAGGAGTTCTTCATAGTGGACATCAACTGGGCTTTGGCAGAACGACCTGTGGACAGAACAGGGTGATCAGAGCGAGCAAAAGCTGGGGACCAAGCTTGGCTTTGGGAAGTGTGATGATAATCAACGATAGGCTTTGACTGAAGTGAAGCTATATATCATTACAAAGCTTGTGTGAATAGTTATAGTATATATAAATTGGACCTTGGCTGAATGTTTTCTAGTTAGAACAAGGTGATCAGAGCGAGCAATAGCTGGGGACCGAGCTTGGCTTTGGGAGGTGTATTGGTAATAGACATCAACGATAGGCTCTGAGGCATAGCTTGTCTAAGTTAATAGTTATAGTAGACATCAGGTGGACTTTGGTTGAACAATCTGTGGATAGAACAAATCATCCTAGCTAGCAATAGTCGGGGAGCGAGCTTGTCTTTAGGAAGTGTAGACATCAGCAGGCGTTAGCTGAAGTGAAACCATATCATATGCATATTTATTTTTCTTAAGCATAGCTTGTCTGTGTAAATTGTTATAGCATACATCAATTGGGCCATAGCTAGATATTTTCTGTTTAAAATCAGGTGATTAGAACGAACAATAGCTTGGGACCGAGCTTGGCTATGCAAATCGTTAGAGATTACACATTTCAAGAATTCATGTGATTTATGCTCTATGAGTTGGGTTGGAGAATAAGTGAAACTATAACGAATTGATTAAAATAAAATTGAATTGTTAATAATAACTTAAACGATAGTGTTTTGTGACAATATAAATGCACGTAAAAAAACGCATTTCTCTAACATTCATTCTTTATTAGAAGAATACTTTTTAACCTCGTTATTTGTGTATATTAGTATGTAAACTAAATAGAAACAGACGCATTGTATGCAAATAAGAACAGATAATCATTCATCGACACCTTTTGTGGTTATATAAATTAAGGAAAACAAAAGTATCATTGAAGGAAGTTTGCTGTCAAGTTTAAGGTAGGTGTGAGTCGAGGTCAGACAGACAGCTGATTAGGATTATCTCAGCTGATCCATGCTTACGTAGACAGTTGCGTAAACAGCTGATTATACAAGTAAACAAACTGTGCTGATTATTTACTAGTACAATACTGTATAAGCAGATATGGTATTTTAATGGCGATCTCATTATACAATAACCATACAGTAGAGTAATACATTTTTACGTAAATCCCCCACGATTTGAAAATTATTAGTTTAATTATGCTTTATACACGAATAATACAATTTATTTAAAATACCTGTAAAAAATACTTAAGTCAATACCTAAATACTCTTAAATAAGTAATTAGAATTGAAAAGTAATTATGTTTTTAACTTTTGGCGATAATGTTGAAACACTTTTATGATATTTTCATTTACGGTATTATGATTATGTAAAATGAAATCCCATGTAAAAATATATGGATTTCGTAAAAAGTGTGGTCAAAATTAGTCCTTATTATATTACTTAAATTTCTATGAAAAACTCGTCGTTTAAATAAACTATCAAATACACATTGTTGTATTGAGGAATTTACTAAATAATAGGTTGTCATTCAAATGGCTGGTAAAGGTTGAAAAATGATGCCAGTGAAACAATTTCAGTTATGCAGAATTTAAAAAGACTGTGTAACTTTACAAAAAGCTTCCAAATTGCAACTAACACTTAATGCTTTGAAAACCTCCCCACCACAAGCACAAGTCAAAACGAACGAAACTACCATCAATTTAAAATCTTAAGTCACAAAATCCTACAACTTTACGAAACGGTGATTTCACATCAGAAAACGCCCAACCTACGCAACCCAACGTACCCTTCACCACATAAAACCCAACTTACGCAGTACTTAGTATGTTGAAACTCTTTCAAAACCTGGCGTAACCTAAAACAATGACTAAAGACCTCCATCGCTGCTACTACTAGTCCATCGAGTGGTCCTACTCGATACAAATTTGTGTGGAAACCCGAGTTTCGAAATCGAGAAGAGTTCTAAACGCACAATAACCTGCAGACCATCTCAAGGTTGCTAGATGTAGGTCGTGCAACGGTTGCACAAGTGTTAGCGACAATAGGGTGCGATACCAGAGCACACCTGCTAGTCTTGCATGGGTTGTCTATTATGATCGGTTGCATACTTCCTAGATAGGGTGATCTGGGCGTTGAGTGGGCTCTGGTAGCTTCCGCGTTCATTAGGGTGTTAGGAGGTCTGCTCGAAAATGATCAAGTGTATCTTGCTTGGACAAGATTGGTTATAAAATGCGATTTTAATTTTTATATTTTTAATTTCTGTGTGTTTAAAGGGCATTAGTACTTTGCATAAGAGATGGTCTGCAGCCTGATACTGTTATTATTTAACTCCTACATATTGTTAGGTTGTAGTATGATCTGGGGTTATAGTCGACATAGCTAGCGATCGTACCTGTAACCTTCAGATTTGAAGGCGAGCCTTAAAAGGCACTCAACTATTCAGACGTTGATTAAGTGTGCATGCTCAAAATCGATCAAGATTGTATAGCGTCCAAAATTTATTTTGAGTTTGGTTACAAAAATTACATACTTTAACAAATCTTAGAAACCAAGCTCAACTCAAAAACTCTTTTAGTTAGTTGGTGAAAACATACGCATAACCCATAGAAATAAAATTTGAATAAACCCGCAAAATCATAAACCATTTGAAATCCCACTTACTTATGTACTATCAAAATAATGTCTTTATTAATTGATTACCAATTTTGACCGTTAGTAGGATCTCATTTCCAACAAGCATACTACACTCATTGTGTTCTAAAACACTAAACTTTGTCCAATCAGGAAGCAGTAGGCTTATGCCGAGAGAAAACATAATCATATATTTTTACTGGTACGTACGTGAGAAGAGTTACTAAAAGACAAGATATTATAAAAATAAAATTAATCATACAGACAAAAAACTCTAAAATTAAAACCAACTACCAAACTATGTTAATGTCACATTCCATTGACCTAACCAGACCTAATAAAAAGTGTCTTTTCCTCCAAAACACCTTGAGACCAAACGTGTCTGTCGCGAAGGCCCACTTGTTCTGGTCCACATAATCGGCCAGGCATTGCGTAATGTGAAACCTCGGTTATCCTGGGAGGGTTCCAGACTGTTGTGACATCGGGTTCATGTCTAGATCAGGTGTTTGTTGTGGGGGTTGACACTAGAGGTATGGAGTTGACAAGACCTAGTGTACACTATGTGACTTTAGATCATCATGTGCTTGTGCACAGCCTACTGATCAGTCAAAGACACTTAATGTTTAATCAGGTGTTGTGTGCGAAGGTTCTAGAAGTGGTATGGAAGAGTTTAGATGAGCAAATCTTTTCTGGACGACTTTTGATCATGATTATGTTCTATCTGAATACTGAACTGATCAATACACAATGTCTTATGTGGTTGTACTTAGCTTATTCTTAAGCTGCAAGGTGTAGAAAATTCTACTATAGCATTATTATAGGGGTGGATATAATATGATGTTGAAAAGGAGAAAACGTATTCTGCATTAGACCATAATTATTTACATACTGATCAATAGACCCCAGAAAACGCTTAATTCATAATTTGATCATACGTTGAGTGTGTAGATTTTCCTATTACTCATGTATAACGAGAAAGTACTTGGCTCATTATTTGCTCAGGTGTCAAGTGTTTGGCTTACTCATCCCACCTACAGTGCAAATGTAAATCTAATCAGTTGACTTTTTGTCACGATCAATTAATGTTGATGCCAAATGATTAGATGACTTTTCTTGTTGGTTCCGATGTGTGACTTTTAATAACGACCATGAGAAGTCTTTAATCAAACTCCGGTAATTTTGGTAGGACGAAATAATTTGCAGCTATACTTATGGACCGTGGACTTTAAAGTTAGTTTTTCGTCACGACTCGTTTATACATGGTGAAAAATTATATTCATTCATACTTCATAGTCACTTAGTATTCATAATAGCTTCTCAAGTTCAAAACATTGCAATTGTCTCACAAACTCTTTGACTAACCGGTCGTTCAAAAAGACTTGAACATTATTTTTTTCACTAAGACAGAACTAAATTTTGTATTTTTTCAAATACACTTCCCCCAGGTTAACATAAAGTAACACAATACCCATAGTCAGTCTATAATATAAAAGCTAGTAATGATTACTACTTTTCTAAATCCAAACCCAACACTGTATATCCAAAAGTCCAGTTACCGTAAACAAAAAGCCCATCCCTCCAAGAAATAACAAAAACTTATCAAAATCTATAACACTCAACAAATAGGTACAAACTTAAATCCTTATCTCACTACTTTAGCACCAACACTTCCCAATTTCAGCCAAACTTTACACCCAATTCAAAAACTCCACACACTCACACTTACCCAATCCACTTTTCATCCACAAAACAATAGAGTCTGCAATTTTAAAACAGTGCACGGACATCGCCGCCGGTCAATCACAATGGGTCCATCACTCATACAACACTCCCCCTACCCTGGACATTCGATTAGCCCAACGAAGTTTGCATACAGACAACCCGTCGATGAGGTTATTTGTGCCATATTTTTTCTTAATCAACACCGTCCGTGTGTGACGCAGCGTTAATTCAATCTCAAACCTATTTTAACACCTAAACGAATTTCACACGTGCCAGATTGATTGTCATTTCGCAGGTTTTAATATGTGTTGGAGTTTTAAAGTGAAATAATTTTTGTCAAGTTGGAAAATGTTGGAATTTTTGAAGATACACACATTTGATTGTGAAATTTGTGTGTGTTTACGCTGGTATTTTCCGTTAAGACCAACGGTTCCTGGTGACGTCAGTCTTTCGGTAGATAGCATAATTGGTTGATTGGACAAATGACACATTATTGGATACTGAAGTTGTATTAATAGTCAAAGATATCATCTAGACATAAAAACTGTTGGAAGATATCCCTAACTAATTGATCTGTCCTTCCTAACAAAATAAAGGAACCAGACTTGCCTTGTTTTTGGATCTTGTTTCACATTTATCACATAAGAAATTAATCATTAGCAAAGT